CCCCACCAAACCAGAATAGATAACTTTGGGCTAGAGCCTAAATGTGGGGGGTTGAGTTAATTAGTGAGGTTTGCAAGAAAACTGAAGTAAAGAACAGCACAAGCCATTGAAGCATATACTGCCACCTTATTAGCTCGAAATTAGACCAAAAAGCAAACCTTTCAAACCGGTTTTTCTCGAAACTGTGAAATTATTTTGAAAATTTTAATTTCGTTCGAATCAAGACTGAAAAGGCCTCAAATTGAAATATCACTCAACCCTGTCCAATGACGATTTGTGGTAGCTGATTTTACGTGAAAACAAAAAAAAATTAAAACACACCCGAATACGAAATTCCTCCCCATTTTCAATGGTCGGAGCATCAATCAAAATAATAGCAAAATTGATCATAATAATATAATCATAAAAATTAAAAAAAATCATAACAAGGGTATCCGGTTACTGTGCAAGTAGCTCAGAATGTTCCGTCCAGACTTAAAAAATACAACATTTTTTTATACAAATTGGTACCGCTATTTTTCTGCATGTCGTGATAAAAATTTCTGAACAAAAAGATATAAATCAGGCATATTTGAGATTCCTAGTAAAATAAGTCAATTGGAAAACCGTTTTAAAAGAAAATGAATAGAAAAACGAAAAAAAAAAGAATGAATTTTCAAGTTTTTGATTCCCAAAATTGCGCTAAAAGACTCCAAAAACTAACTTTACCTGAGTAAAACTAAGTTTTCAAGGCTTAAATAAGCTAACCTAAGCTATTGCATTTGCTAACTAACTTACTAATTAGCTCGAAAATAGACCAAAACTCAAAAACTTTAAACCGGCTTTTCTTGATCTTGTAAAAATTGTTTTGAAATTTTTTGATGTTCGAATCAAGACTGGAAGGGTTTTAATAAAATATATCACTCAACCCTGTCCGAAGATTATTTGTGGTAGCTGATTTTGCGTGGAAAACAGAAAAAAAACTAAAACACACCCGAAACCAAAGTTTCTCCCAATTTTCAATGGTCGGAACAACAATCATTATAATCATTATAGTAAAAAAATGATGATAAAATGATCATAATAAAAATCATAATGCTCTAGGGTGAACGTACGGTTCAACTTAGGAAAGTTACACTGATTAAAGAACTCTTTTTCTGAATTTTTAAGCTAAATTTTAACCAATTTCCTTTCGAAAAGGTGAAAAAACAGGTGGTGTGGAAAATTCTGCACTTCCGATTCCTCCGATTATGCTTTGAACGGGTGATTAATAGGTCGGAAATTTGATCATAGAAAAATGCGGAAAAGGGTATTAAGCCAAGGGTTATTTTCAGCCACTGATTTCCGTCTCTTACCTGGGCTTGCTTTCAATCATCAAAACAAAAAACAATTATTACAACTCTTGAGGGAAAAATTAGTCATTTTGGTGAGCGGATTCAACTGGTTTCATTTAAAATATTTAAAGTATTGTTTCCAGATTTAAGCAAAACGTTAGCTCACATTTTTTTGTTGATGCATATTTTTACAACTTAGCTTTTTATCGATAGCCCGAGCCACTAATCAATTCCAGAAAAATCTTCTTAATTAAAGACTTCTCCATCGCTTGCAAACTTCTCCAACGCACCGAAGTTTTATAGATAACAATCGAATATAATCGATTTTGTTGAATACAATTTTGTCTGTATAATCAAGTATCATGGAAAACTTAGACAAAATTACGGATTATAATCCATTATAATTATTTATTTTCAGAAAACAAAAAACCATTATAATTCATTATAATCCATTAAAATCTGTTTTTTTTTCAATATAATCGATTATTTTTATGTTTTTTTTCCTACTTGTTGCAGTTTTCTGAAAAAGTCGAGCGCGAACGTGCACGTTCATCGTCATAATCACTATTTAGCGCCCTCTTATGTCCCCCAAAATGCCTTGTCCACCTTTTTACAACTCCCCCCACCCGTGTTTACCCCAAGCCCCACCAAACCAGAATAGATAACTTTGGGCTAGGGCCTAAATGTGGGGGGTTGAGTTAATTAGTGAGGTTTGCAAGAAAACTGAAGTAAAGAACAGCACAAGCCATTGAAGCATATACTGCCACCTTATTAGCTCGAAATTAGACCAAAAAGCAAACCTTTCAAACCGGTTTTTCTCGAAACTGTGAAATTATTTTGAAAATTTTAATTTCGTTCGAATCAAGACTGAAAAGGCCTTAAATTGAAATATCACTCAACCCTGTCCAATGACGATTTGTGGTAGCTGATTTTGCGTGAAAACAAAAAAAAACTAAAACACACCCGAATACGAAATTCCTCCCCATTTTCAATGGTCGGAGCATCAATCAAAATAATAGCAAAATTGATCATAATAATATAATCATAAAAATAAAAAAAAATCATAACAAGGGTATCCGGTTACTGTGCAAGTAGCTCAGAATGTTCCGTCCAGACTTAAAAAATACAACATTTTTTTATACAAATTGGTACCGCTATTTTTCTGCATGTCGTGATAAAAAATTCTGAACAAAAAGATATAAATCAGGCATATTTGAGAGTCATAGTAAAATAAGTCAATTGGAAAACCGTTTTAAAAGAAAATGAATAGAAAAACGAAAAAAAAAGAATGAATTTTCAAGTTTTTGATTCCCAAAATTGCGCTAAAAGACTCCAAAAACTAACTTTACCTGAGTAAAATTAAGTTTTCAAGGCTTAAATAAGCTAAACTAAGCTATTGCATTTGCTAACTAACTTACTAATTAGCTCGAAAATAGACCAAAACTCAAAAACTTTAAACCGGCTTTTCTTGATCTTGTAAAAATTGTTTTGAAATTTTTTGATGTTCGAATCAAGACTGGAAGGGTTTTAATAAAATATATCACTCAACCCTGTCCGAAGATTATTTGTGGTAGCTGATTTTGCGTGGAAAACAGAAAAAAAACTAAAACACACCCGAAACCAAAGTTTCTCCCAATTTTCAATGGTCGGAACAACAATCATTATAATCATTATAGTAAAAAATGATGATAAAAATGATCATAATAAAAATCATAATGCTCTAGGGTGAACGTACGGTTCAACTTAGGAAAGTTACACTGATTAAAGAACTCTTTTTCTGAATTTTTAAGCTAAATTTTAACCAATTTCCTTTCGAAAAGGTGAAAAAACAGGTGGTGTGGAAAATTCTGCACTTCCGATTCCTCCGATTATGCTTTGAACGGGTGATTAATAGGTCGGAAATTTGATCATAGAAAAATGCGGAAAAGGGTATTAAGCCAAGGGTTATTTTCAGCCACTGATTTCCGTCTCTTACCTGGGCTTGCTTTCAATCATCAAAACAAAAAACAATTATTACAACTCTTGAGGGAAAAATTAGTCATTTTGGTGAGCGGATTCAACTGGTTTCATTTAAAATATTTAAAGTATTGTTTCCAGATTTAAGCAAAACGTTAGCTCACATTTTTTTGTTGATGAATATTTTTACAACTTAGCTTTTTATCGATAGCCCGAGCCACTAATCAATTCCAGAAAAATCTTCTTAATTAAAGACTTTAGTTTTTTTGTTCTTTAAATCCTGCTTCCAACTAGAACTAGGCAATCTTACAAACAGTTACAGCATAATTGAAATTTTTTGGTGAGTTCATTGGCCGCATTTCATGTTTGTATGAAACGAGAAAAAGTTTTGGACTAGTTTTTGGAGTTTAAAACTAGCGTGAAACGAAACATATCATATCAGTGAGGGGAATGTTCTAATAAATTTTGGTACATAGTTGCCGCGGTTTGAGCAAATATGGCGTTAAATTAAAATTCTTTAACTAATTTCCGCTGTCAAAGTAGTTTTTTTCTTCTTTTGTAGGCTGACATGATGTTTTTTTCTTCTATACTAACTGTGCGATTGTTTCGCGCTGCTTTTAATGGTTATAAAAACACCAACAACACCACAACTTTTCAACACATATGAAGCTCACCAAATTAGGGAATTAAATCTTCAGTTTCCGCATGATAATATCCCAGTCGCGCCAAAACGTCATGGAGGGATGAACTATTTTTTGCAAGACAAGATAGCAAAAACTGAGGAAAAGATTAAATTTATGTGCTTTTATGGTAAGAAAAAGTAAACTAGTATTACATTTGGCAGCTTTTTTGTGTTCGATTTGAAGTGAATTGAGTTGAATTGAATAACTCAAAAATGGAGCCAACTTTGCACGTTTGTTTCAGCAGAATCAAATCTTTTTTTTTCCTTACCAGTTTGGTTTTCACTTGACACGCAAAAATATCTTTGGAACAGCAGAAAATTGTGTAGAGAAATTAATACTTGCAAAACACTTATAATGCACTTTCAAAATGAAATATCCGGCATACCATATTAGTGTTGACTTAAGTTGCACCAACTATTTGTTCACAAAGAGATTCAAATTCAAATAAATTGCGCAAAATTTTATTTTCTTTATTCTCTCATAACATTTAATTTTCAGAAAAAATTCTATTGAGTTAAAAACTAAAAAGCATGTTTTCTCGCAATTTTGTTCATCATGTTATTTTTTGTTGTTCGCTGTGTTACTTCAGCTATCATTTCCAGTTTATTGAATTATTTTGACCCGACGCCAGCATTAAATTGCTATATGAAAATTATATGACACCAAAAAACGCAAATTAATGAAAATTTGTTCTGCTTATGCAAAAAAGTTTTCTAATAGGTTAAACCTTTCTTAGTTTGCAAAGTCAACCATTTAAAAATAAATTTCCGGAAGCAAACGAAATGGAATGGTAAAATAGTGACCCTTTCTATTCAGTTTTTTTACCCCAACCAATTTAATTGTTGCCTTTTAGCGAATAGAAGCTTATGATACGTTTTTTCTTCTATACGTAGTTTCTTTGCTCATTCGTTTCACTCACCTTAAACGTCCCTTTACCTGTTTTGAAACTAAGTTCGCTTTGGTCTTTCAGACCAAAATCCAATCTTCTTTGCAATATTATTGAAAAAAAAACTATTTCGCATGATTGCAGATTTCAAAATAACACCAATTTGCGTACAAGTTTTAATTCCTCTTCAATCCTTAGCTTAGACAAAAAATGAAATATGTGTCGAGATAAGAAAAAATTTCACCCTTGTTTTATTGCTGCGTGTGATTGACCATCTAGATTGGCTCCTTTACCTGTGTCACTGTGGTGTGAGCGTCAGGCTTTCTTGTGACCATCACCGAAAGTCTTGAAGAAGTTTAATTTGTGCCTTTGAGAATTCGTGGGTTTGAAATGGATCTTAACAGTAGTGGAATTAGTGGCAAGGATGATAATGAAAAGAGCAGTCTGACCAAGTCAAAGTTGGCCCCAATTGCAATCCAAACTGTCGAATCCGGAATCGCCATTCTAGCAGGTAAGCAAACGAGAGCAGAAGTATACTGGAAAAAAAAGCAATGCAACGAAACAATTTGTAAAATTAAAACACTCAAATAGTTTTTCTCGGAAAGTTTGCGATCATAAGACTTTTCCATTATTTGCATGATATTAAGACCTACCTTACTGGTAATAGAATCGAGTCACCGTAGGCTCTTAATTTTTTGCAAAAATGACAGGTCTTTTACTTTAGCGCTATTATAGTAAAGTGTCGATGAGCAGGGCTCAGACACATTTATTGAAAGGTTTATTCTTCAGGAAAAAGTAATGAACTTTTTTTCATAGTTTTTTCCGATTAGTGTAATTTATTGTTCCAACTTTCGAAGAAAACGGAGTTTTTATGCTTGGTGTGGTTTCTTATTCGGTCAATTTTTGGCAACCGAAACAGTTTTAAACAAAAACTGTTTAAGCGATTTGAAGATATCGACTACCTAAAGTTAAAGTTTGATAGTTTACCTCCAATTAGTTTTTGCAAACTTATGGGGGTTTGAAAATTGTCAATTTGGCGATGCTCTGGACTAAGTCCTGAAACCGTTATGCAAATTTTTCATGGGCGACCAATTATCCCGCACAACAAAGTGGTTCCAAATTGAATTGAGGCTAAGAAGTCGGTCGTAATGATTTTTGTCCAAAATTTATAGTTTCTTAATATTTTCTTTTCTCAAAAACTATTCGATATGGATTAAGGGGCAGTCGGAAAATTCAGGGCTTTGCTCTTATATACGAGCAGTCTTGTTTCGTGTAACATGATGAATTTGAATTTTCATTTCTTTTTGGCTTCAAAATTAATTGCTAAAAGGAAGGCAAACATTGCTCTTCACTAAAAAAAAGCATGAGGCGCAAACAAACGTAAACGACTGTAAAAATTCGCACACGACGCACAATAAAACTATAAAAAATTTTCCTTTTATCCAGTTTTCCCAGACTGCGCCAACTTTAGCAAAACAGAGTCATTCGTAAAAGACTGTTGAAAACTAAAGAACTTGGCAATTCTGATCTTTCCCCCCAACTTTCATAATTTCTGTTTTTCTAAAAATTCTTCACGTGCGCGTGATATTATGATGTAAGGTTTGAAAAACAAATTTTTTCACAAATAACTCGCTCCATCCAACTATAACCTTGTTGGAGTAGTTTCAAAAATTGAAATTGATAGGTGGGGGAATTGGAAAAGAGCCAAGAACTTTATTTTAAGGCATTATTTTGTCTTCGAAAAATGACAAATGAAAAAAAGTCTATTTTTTTCTGTTTTCCTAAGTTTGTCGACACTTTTCTAGCTGTATGTAAGCTAAAATTGATATTTTAAGTCTAAATTTTGCTAAAACGGTGATAAAAAGCTAAATAATTTACATACGTTTTTGATTGCAGTTTTTGTGCCTTTTAGCGACGATATTTTTGTGAGAAATTAACATGGGTGGGTAATATGTTGCTTACTAGACTATTAATTGAATACTTTATTTGTCGTACTTAAACTATTATCGAAATAAACTACAAACGAAGTTTTTCAACGACAATCTAAATTTCTGGACAGTGTGAACAACGTTGAAAATCCAACTGATTTTTTGCAAATTGCGTTGAAATGGAATCAAATTTATAAGCAAAAATAATTTCTTACAGTTTTAACGGCCCTAATATGATATAATTTACCAGCAGGCAGAAAAATTTATCCTAAAAATTAAGAAAAATGGGGTCCTTTTTGTCAATCAAGTTTTAGGCTAAGCGAGCGGGTCAGTTGCTGCTTAAATGTTGTCAGAATCAAACCTCCTCGGCCAAATATGTACATTTTACTAAATGAAATAGCAATTGGTACATTTAAAATCGAAGAAAGCGTTTTGTGAAATTTTTTGCAATTTTTATTATGCATCTCTTATCTTTGTTGGATTACATAATAGGTTGAATTGGGTATGACTTGTTAGAAGAAATTTTGGTTGTCATTAATGTTTGTCTATTGTCAAAGAAAATTCAGAAAAACCTAACAAGCAATGAGTCTTATACAGTTATATTTTCCAAACAAAACGTAAAAAACACATTTCGAGCTTTATTTAGACCAATCACACAATGCTTTGTACGCATGAATCATATCTATTCTGTCTTTAATTTGTCGGTATAAATACAAGTTACCAAGGGGTGCCGGACATCAAGCCGACGGGACTTCAAGCCGAATCGTAAAATTAGCGACATCAAGCCAAACATTTTCTCATTACATCATGAAATATGAATAATTCGACAATTTTTTGAAAAATTTCTCAATTTCATGATCTTTCTTCAGTAGTTATTGACGTTTTCATAAAATTTACGCATCCAAATGATGTTTACGAAAGTTGAAAAATAAAACACTGCATTTCAATTTATGCATTTCAAAACCGGCTGATATTATTAACGAATAACAATCCTGAGTGATTCATTGTCATGAATAACGCTTATTATGGACTAAGCTTGCCTAAATTTTTGAAAAGCAACCTTTTACAGATAAAAAATAGTAACTTGAGGGGCTTGTAAAGTTTAAATTTCGGCCTGAAGTCCCGTCGGATTGAAGTCCCGTCGGCTCGTTGTCCTAGACCCATTACCATGTTCATTTTTCAAAAACTGAGTTAGAACAAGAAGATAGAAAGCTTTTTAAGTGGCCCAAAATTGTCTGATTGCAATTGTTCATAAAAACATGCAGATGAAAGTACATTTTGTAAGTAGAAAAAAAAGCTGCAGTGGCAAAAATTATAATTTATTATAAAGCAGAACTCAAATCACTGCAATATTACGTGATTTTAATTGTGTTGTTATTACAGGTGGGACGGACAAATCAGGCAACTATGTGATCTTTTTCCCACCCAAGAAACAGGCCATGATAGCCACTCAATTCGCCTTCGGAAGCCATCTCGTGCAACTCATCCAGTACCTCATAGGCATTGCCACGTAAGTACATTCTCACAACCCCCCCCCCCCCTCCCCCTCTCTCTCTCCGCACCCCCCCCCCTTCCCACCCCAAACTGACATATATCACTTTTAAAAGCGGTTTTTTCTTCAAAATTGGAGAAAAAAAACGCATTTTTCCAACTCGAACAAAAATGATTTACTTTTTGTCTCAACAATGGCATGCTTAACAATTGCAACCTATTTTCAAAAATTTCCATGAAAATATTTCGACGCGTATTTTATTAGGACACGTACACAAGGCATATGTTATTTTAGTTTTAATGATAACTGAAAAATAGCTCATGTGCTGCCCTTAAGCCCTGATTTTCTCAAGTGCAAAAAAGTGATATTTTTCTGAAAACGCGTTGGATTATTATGATATAACGCAAGCAAAAAAAAACACAAATTCTTTGTCATGAAAAAAATTGTGCATTCTCTCAACGGATATTGATAGACTCACTTAGCAATTTTACTGCATGAGCTTAAATCGATCGCATATACGAATTAAAAGGGAACAAAAAAGCACGAATAGAATGAACCAAGACTGCTCGTATCATGACAAGACTGCTCGCATCAGGGCAAAACCCTGAATGATCCGACAGTCCAAAAACTGGTTTCAAAATTTTTTGAATAATGAAATATTGACAAGTTATGAGTTTTAGACTAATTATATTCAGAGTCGGGTATGGAACTAATAAGATCAATTAGCTTGCCTTGAATTATTTTGGAACGGTATTGTGGCGAATTATTATTCGCCACGCGTAAATATTGCTCGTTACACTTTCAGCATTAAAGTATCAAAGCGCTTTTATAGAAAAGTTTTTATAGTTGGGGGCGTTCAACAGTGCCGAAGTACAACAGTGCCGAAAAATGCAAAAATTTTCAAAATAATTTAAATGCATTTTGTAAAGGGTGGCAAATTACTGGCGCTAATTAACCAAAAAAATCACTCCAATTTTGGCGCCGCAACTGCGAATTAAACAATTATTTTGGCGACAGAACTTCAAAGTTGCAAATTTTCTCGCTCAAAATCTTAAAGTTTCACTTAAAATTGTAAGCGATTGCCCGTTAATATTTGATTGCCGCACTTTATATATTGAAATTTGTTCAAATTTTCGGCACTGTTGAACTAATTTTTTTGGCACTGTTGTACTTCGGCACAGTTGTACTCCCCCTTATACTTGTGAGCGTTCTGTAAGTCTGAATAGCCTTGTCGTGAGCGCGACCTTTCAGTAAACACAAAGACCCATGGATCGATCCCATGTGAAAAATGTTTTTGGGAATTGTTCTGCATGGAAAAAAAATCTAAGTATGTATAATCCTTACTTTCTACGAGATTCTACATCAAATTACCCTGAATTTAAATACAGTGAAAGGCAACTATCAAGGACCGTTGTATGATGGAAGGTTTTGTTTTATATTGACTTTTAATTGTTACAGATCATTTTTTGATGAGAACGATGACTAATTTTGTAAATCACAATTCTAACCCCACAAAATAACAGTCAGTTTGAGTGCTATATTGTTTACCAAACAGTTTTATACTTTTTGAATCTTAATCAAAGCCTTGCAAACAATTACTTAAGAAGCATCACATGAGGTTTGATCACGACCGTCACCACCGTCAATTTTGACCAAATTGTCATTTTTCATCATTTTTTGGAAAAACCAAAAAAATTCACAATTATCTGATTAAATTGTTTTTATACTTAGGTGATGAAATTGCGGAGAACATTTTTTGACTCTTGATTATCAGGTCTAAATTGTTTGTTCGCGAGAAAGTTTTGCTATTCTATTTGCTCTACTTAAATTGCCGAAAATTGATAAGTTTTCAACCACTTTTCACTCCTTGTTCTGATTTTTCCTAAAATAGCAATTATTTAAATTGTTCCTTTCCGTTGTTTCCGTTTTTAAAATAAGGGCAAACTCCATTATTGAACAGCAGAAGTGTAAAGGTCACAAAAAATGATCGACTTCTTGTTTCTCGAGTTCATGTCTCAGTTTTCCCAGCGGAATAGAAAAATAATTTAGGATACAAATTCGAAAATTTTACCTGATGTTTGTCGGGTTCAAATTTTGTCTTTTGTTAGCAAGTTTTGCTATTTTATTTTCTGTATATAAATTCTCAAAAACTATTTCGATCAAATTGTCTTAAAAATTGGGTCATTATTTTTCATTCAGAAAAAACGACTTTTTAAAAATGTGCTGGAAAATCGAAGAGCTATAAGGACTTATTGTTTTAAGAAACTCGAAAAAAAATGTTTTTTGTTCAAAAAAAGTCAGTAGCTCTTTCTGTTTCCGTGCGTTAATTGACTCTTTTTCAACTGTCTGCTGTCTCAATTTTGTACTAGATTCAAATTATACTTTATCAAATTTGGATGATTTATATTCAAAACCTTCAAGCGTGATTCTAACTATCCACAAATACCGAGAAGGTTATCAAAGGGGTTCAGAAGAAAAGCACGAATTCTTTCGAAATGAAAAATCTCAGTCTACATTCAATGTCATGTTAGCGACTACATAGAATAGTTTTTTCAAGTTAATTAAACTGACAATTTTAAATATTTTTTTTCTCGAGCCTTACAAAATAAATAAAACCAAGTTCTCAGCAATTGTCTATCCAAACCCTTCAATTGTCTATCCAAGATCTGAGGCTATAGTTTAACGTGTTACGCATGTGTGTTGCAGATACACAGGGGTGTACAGACGGAAGTTCAGCTTCTACGCGGACCTGCGGGACATGAATTATGGGGCGACAGAGTCCATAGTCAAGTCACTCACCACTGTCTACCATGTGAGCCCACTTGTTTCTTCAATCATATGCAGGGGAGGATTTGGGGGGAGGGGCGGGAGGTGAACGCCTCTTCTCAGGGATTCGACCCCCTGTCGATCCAAAGGGTCCACCCTTTGAATTATTTTGAGATATCCTTTTTTTGCTGACGGACCCTACAAATTTTCTAAAGGCGCCTTTGGCGCCAATATATACTAATGTTGAGGGGAGCGCGCGCCGAAAAAACTCAATTTTTTTGGTGAAAAGTTTCGAAAAAGTGCATAAAAACGCCTTTTTGGCCTGTTTTTTTTTCAAAATTTTGCCTGTGGCGCTAAAATTTTGGCCATAACAGAAACTTTTTACTGCTTTGTGCGAGCTCCGAAAATTAATTTGCTCGACTTTAAAAAAGAAATCGAAATCAATGCTAGTAATCAACTTGTGAACCTTTTTTCGAATTAATGTTCAATCGTTCAAAAGAACTTAAATTTGGATCAATTTAGAAGACGACAGGGAGCCATGTGTTGGTAGACAGCCTACTGGTGGTTAAGCCGAAAGACAAGAAGCTGCTCAAAGCACTGTACAGAATAGTGGGCGTCACGGCCTCCAAGTCCAAATCAGATGATGACTTCACGCTTCCCAAACCCCCTTACCCGGTAAATTTCCCGCGTTTTCTAGACTAAGTTAGATGCCTCTTGAAAACTTATTTAGAATTTTTTTACTTAGGTTAAGTGAAACAAGCGTTTAAACTGTTACAGGACTAATTTCAGATTGGAAAAAAAACTAAGCTCTCTGTAACGGAGAAGTTTCAGTTTTTGCTGGAAGTGAAACAGATCTGAAACAGGACTGCTTCAAGTTCAAAATTTTGCCGAAACAGATATGAAGTACAATCAGATATTATCAATGTAACTTTAAAACTAAAACAGGTCCTGAAACGTTTCTGAATGAACTAAAAGTTCATTGGAACAGATATAGAGTCTGAAATTGGATCTGAAAATATCCTGAAAATGAACCGATTTAGACCAAGACCCATTATGTTATAATCAGTTACCCTTGACATACTTTTTCTATTAAAAAAAATAATTTTCATGGCTGTCAAAAATTTCTCCAAACACTGTGACATAACGAATTAGATGAAGCATGATGACATTAAAAAATGACAGCTTCAGAAGAAAAAGGTAGATTTTTTTCTTTTCAACAAGGAAATGGTTTTCAAATAGTATACGCATGTGATCAAATCAAACAAAAAACCCGCGAAAGCAAGGGTTTAAGAAATGATTTTTTTCCTTCTTCAAGAAAGAAGTTTTTGAAATTTGGTTGTTTTTTTTTGCAGGTGCACATTCTGAATGACATCAAGGAGCTGCACCGGAAGATCGATGTGTCCCAGCTACCTCTGAGTGGAGGGGGATACATGCCCTACTCACACCAGGACTTCGTCTCCTTCATCAGGGCAAGTGACTCCTCTACTACATTTTCCTATAATCATCATCATCGCAATTATGATTTTTATTATGAGAGCCTTCACAGTCCACGAACGATGGCTATCTTGTAAGATTTTTTGCAAGATCTGCTTAGGTTCCTAAGTTTCGTAGATTTTTCCATCATCGTCATTAGTAAGAGATTCTTATCCCTTGAAGGATTGTTATCGTGTAAGATTCTTGCAAGATATTCTTAAGTTTTTAGGTTTTATTGATTGTTCCATCATCATCATCAATATTATGAGATCCTTAGCCCATGAAGGAGTGTTAACGTGTAAGACTCTTGCAAGATCTTCTTAGTTTATGCACTGTCTATCAAAGATTCTTGGAAGTTTCTTGAAAGACTGCAAAGGAAACCATCCTTGATCTGCTAGTGAATACTCTATATTGATGTTCCATGGTGTTAGACTCAGATTTGACCTTTGAATGGTTAGCTCAGAACCCAAAAACAGAGAACGGAATGAGACATTTTGTAACAAACCAAACGTTTTCGCACCTTTTTACAATGGAATGGTATTTAAATCCTGCCCTGCAATACAACCGACTGAATTGCCGAAGTCGCTAATGCTGAATTCGATTAATATTGGTTTGTTCTTCCGACCAATGAAAAGATTCGAATTTTTTTTTCGTTTTGTTTTCCACGCAAAATCCGGTACCACAAATAATCATCGGACAGGATGGAGTGATATATCATATTCGAACCACATTTTAAAATTTTCAAAAAAAATTACCAGTGTTGAGAAAAACCGGTTTGAAACTTTGATTTTTCGTCCTAATTCGAGCAAACAAAGCAATCAAGCAGGCTTACAACAGCTTGATTAGGAAAAATTTTAAATTAAGGCCCAAAAATTTAACTTTAAGCAAGTAAAATTATTTTTTTTTCGTTCCATTCTAGGAACCAAAAACTTCAAAACAAATTGAAAAATTTTGGGCAAAAAAAAATTGAAAAAAAAAGTTTGAAATCTTTGTGTCTTATTTGCCTGTTTTACTATGAATGTCAAATATACCTAAAATCTGGTTTTACATCAGACTTTTTTTATCACTCCATGCAGAAAAACTAATTTGAAAAAAAAGCTTTATCTTGTAGTTTTTAAAGACTATGGTCGGAACATTCGGTGCTACTTGCAACGTAACCGGCGTTTTATTTGTTTGTTTTATTTGTTTGTTTTATTTGTTTGTTTTATTTGATTGTTTTATTTGTTTTATTTGTTTGTTGGTGTTGTAGAAGTTTGAGGACACCCGAAGTTCGGTTGATAGTAGTATGGAGTCCATAGACGAGTTGCTGGATGAGTTGGAGCAGCTCAATGCTCAGGATGTCTCTAAATTGGACGAGGCTGAATTGATTACCTACGAAGCCAACAAGAAGCGAATCGCAGCTTGTCTCAAGTCAGAAGATATGAATATTCTTAACCATCCTCTCCTACCCTAGAGTGCTCTTTTAAAAGGGGTGATAGTTTCAGCGGGGTGAGAGGGGGTGAGAGAGGGGGGGGGGGCAAAAACAGGCAAAACTCGAACGCCCCTATTTCTGAGTGATGGCTACATGTTGAAATACCAACTTAAACCCGTTTTTCACAGTTTTTATTCAAATATTTTTGCCCTTCCTCAGAAAAAATTTGCCACCTTGCCAGGAGTGATCTTTGTGTGTACTACGCCGTACGCCTTCTAAAAACTTATCTGAGAAGTGCCATGGCTCAAGAACGTTCAAGAGCACCAGCACTTCTATACATTCACCGCAACGTTGTTGGTGACGTTGACGATATCATTAAGCATTTTGGGGTACAAAAAGACGCCTCGAACTCTACTGAATTGATTTGAGCAATGTTTAAATGTCTAAATTAACCGAGTAAAGTAGCACCACCATGTACAAATTCTCAGAGCCTCGCCTGGTTTTTCACCTGATTCATTCTGCATTTTTTCAAAAAAATTAACAGTAAATTGAACAAAAACTGAGAATTTTTTTTTTAAATGTTTTTTTTTCGTCTTTTTTTAGACAATTGTGGTCTTTTTTTCTGACAATTGTGGAGGATACTAATCTAATTGCACAGTAATTGGCTATCTCTATGTTTGATATGAAGTTTCACACTAATATTAATTACTAATCCTACTTAGTTTCAACCATGAGTCCACTGCGGAAAAACGAAAATAGAATTTTCAGCTCTCTACGGAGAACTGATGTTGTGTCGTTGGTTAAAAATGACTGCAGTTTTTTTTGCTATTTATGCCTGGATAGTAGTGGCTCATGGTCAAATATAAAAACATCCGAACAAAATGACTTGATATTTGTGCTCGGTGTAATAAAAACCCATAAAAATGAGCCTATTTGTTTCTGGAAAAAGAAACGGAGTATTGTTACAACCCTAAAAAACGGCAAAATATTTGTGCTCGGTGTGTTTTTTTGTATCAAGCAAAATAGAGTTTCCAAACTAAGACTATTGGGAGAAACGTTTCATGGCGTTCTCAGAAAAAAAATTGTTATACAGAACTCAAAAACAAAAAAAAATAAGCCATTTGTTTTTTATGAAACTGTTTGATGATTGGGTATATTGGAATAATTAGTACGTGTAATTTTTCCAGTTTTTTATATTTCCAGTTTATCAAAAAATGCAGAACAAAAACAGATTTTTTTAAAGTGTGTTTTTTAGTTGCATACCAAAATATGTTCACAGTACGACTTCAAACGCATTAAAGTATTGCCTGAAAAGTCTGGATTTAAACGCATCTTTGTTAAGTTTTAGTTTTTATCCGTCGACTGAGAAAAAACTCTGATAAACTGATGTCTTTTGAAATCCTAATATCTTAGTTTGCCTATGTTCTACTAACGCGTAACGTACACAGCAACTTTTCCTTCTAATTGATCGACGCAGTAATTTTTGTTCCGACTTTCGTAACGAAAGTAACGGAATATTTGTGCTCGGGGTGGATTTTTTTCTTCCGACAAATTTCGAATTTTCATTTAGCCTTTTTCACGGAGTTTTTTTAAATTATTCAAAAGATATTATTGTCTTGGGCCTGTAATCATTTTTCGTAAAGTTATAGGGGTTTAAAGATTGCCATTTTGGACAATTTGGGACAGTAAACGCGCGACCTTTTTCGCGCTATTAACGCGTAAGCGGAGATTTAAACCGACTTGGAATCGTTCAAAAGTGGTTGAAAGAAGCTTATTTGCCATAATTGACTTGTTAAAAGGAGCAAAATCTATCCTTTTGTACCTTATATGGCGTGTGGGGTGATGATTTTCACAAAAAATCTCAAATTTTAGAAAAAAAATTGTTTTCAGACAGTTTTGGACAAATACTGTTCTAATTGCACAGTAACTGGCTATCTCTATGTTTGATATGAAATTGCACACTAATAATAATTACTAATTCTACTAAGTTTCAACGATGAGTCCACTGCGGAAAAACGAAACTAGAATTTTCAGCTCTCTACGGAGAGCTGATGTTGTCTTGTTGGTTAAAAATGACTGCAGTCATTGACTTTATTTTTTTAAATGTTATTAGTGTTTCGTAGACCCTAAAAGGCAGTTTTAACATTCAAGGTTTTGCCCTGATACGATCAGTTTTCTTCCAGTTAATTGTTAATATGACATTGCGTGAAATCGGACGATTTTCGAGAACAGATGAATCAACATTCCAGTTTCAATAAATTTATTTGTTAAGAGCATAAGCTTGTGACTTGTTATTTCTCAAAAAGCAGTAGAAAAATTTCAGGGTTTTTTTGAGCAGTTTGTTCATATAACTGACTTGTTTTTGAAAACATTTCTACCAAAAAGATAAAAGTGACAGAAAGTTTATGCTCGGAGTGGTTTTTTACTAGCTGTTTATAATTCATTTTTATTACCGAATGAGAACAAGGATAGTTGATTACAGTGCAAGTAGCACAGATTGTTCCGAGCATTGTCTTAAATAGACATCAAAAAGTTTTGTTTGCTGTTTAGTAATGTTCTTTCGGCGTTTTAAACTTGTCTGATCGAAAAACTGAAGGAAAGAGTTTAAGCATGTTCGACAGTCATAAGAAAACAAACATATTGGAAAATTTTTTTGTAGAAATTAGACTAAAACAAAGCATAAACAAAGAAAAAATTTCAATTTTTTTGTAGTTTTTTGAATTTTTGAAGTTTTTTATTCCAAAAAACCACTGAAATTCTCAAAAAACGTTACTCGAGTAAGAACGAAATTTATATGGCTTAAATTAAGCATTTGTAAGCTTATAAGTCACTAAAATAAGGAGCTAATGTAAGCCTGCTCGCTCGCTTATTCGCTCGATTAAAGACGAGAAATCAAAAACTTCAAACCGGCTTCTTTCGACACTGGGATCAGTTTTTATGGCATTTTTTAAGTTCGTTTGAATCACGACTGAGGTAACTTTAATATGATATATCACTCAACTCTCTGCGATGATTATTAGTGGTAGCTGTTTTTGCATGAAAATAAAAAAAACAAAGAATACAAAATTCCTCCCCATTTTTCAAATGGTCTGAAAAAATAATTTCAACGTCACTATTTTATCAATTAATGCGGTTTTATGAATTTTTTCATTGAGTTATGAGAGTGTGAATAATGCAAGCTTAAACAATAAGGGACAACAATTGAGGGACAGCGATGAAATAAAATTCATTCCAAACTGAATTTAGGATTCCTAAAATTAAAGCGCTGAATAATGGGTTATTGTTGGTATAATATTGGGTCGGAACAATGAGACTAAGCAATAATCAACGTTAGTGTTTCAATAAAATATGTTAGAAATCCGCCTCGATAGCCGATTAATTTTTCGACGCTTAGAACAGTTTTTGAGCTAAAACATATTCATGGTGATCAGGGTCGGATCTAGGATTTTCTCGTGGGACGGCGGATTTTCAAAAAATTTTCGAAAATTTTGACGACCTTTTTTTGGTCGACCAAATTGATTTTTCGAGCTCTCCTGACTCCTAAAGTACCTTTTCCCCCCAATTTGGGGCAAAATTTTTTAGCGCCGCAGGAAATTTTTTGAAAAAACGCGTTTTTTTGGCGCGCGCTGCCCCTCAAAGATAGTATAAATTGGCGCCAAAGGCGCATTTAGAAAAATTTTAGGGTCAGTCGGCCAAAAATGGATTTCTTAAAAAGTATCAAAGTGGGGACCCTTTGGGTCGGCAGGGGATCAAATTCGAAAATCACTCTGTTGAAAAATTGTAGATATGCCCCTGCTTAGAATGAAAACTGTTGGGATGACTTAAAACATGTTCCTCTATTCATTTAGGGAGATAAAAATGGGAGAGATGACAGAGAACTTGAAGAAGTACAGGGCCTCTCTGCTGGACAGGACCCCCTACAACGCCAGCTCCCACTCCCACATCCCCGCCTCCATCCTCATAGAAGTGGCAGTCACAGTCGCCAGGGTGAGTATACTAATAGCCACCGGCGGACTTAGTGGTGGATGGGGAATTAGACGTGGATTTAATTGGGGGGGAGGGGGAGTCAAAGGGTCGAATTGAGGCGGCGGAATTCGACCCTTTGACTACCAATTGGTACTATTATAAAAAAAAACTTCATTTTGGCTGGTTGACCCTAAAATTTTTCCACATGCGCCTTCGGCGGTAATATATACTAACTTTGAAGGGTGAGCGCGCGCCGAAAAAATGCATTTTTTTTTTGGTCAAAATTGTTCAAAAGGTGCCTAAAATTGCCTCATTGGCCCATTTTTTTCAAAAATTTGCCTGCGGCGCAAAAAAATCGACCAAAACAGGGTCTTTTTAATACTGGGAGAGCTTGGTAAGTCCATTGGTTTGACCTAAAAAAAGGTAATTCTTTGGAAGTCCGCTCCCCTCAAAAAAATGCTAGATCCTTTCTGTTCATCATAACAGCTCGATCCCTGTGTAATAAATAATACAGGTACTAACAATAGTACTCGGTTGCAGTGCAACTAGCAGGGAATGTTCCGACCGCAGTTTATAAAAAATTCCACTGGCTTTTTTTCAATTTTAGGCTCTATTTTTGTTCACGGGGCAGGGAAAGAGTCAAAATTGATTTCAGGTGTCTTTCAAAATTGAATAACAAACTGAAAATATCAAAAATCATTGCAGCTTTGAACAAATTTTCTGAAACTTTCAGTGTTTTACACACACTTTTTTTGGATTTTAAGTTTTAAGTTCCAAGGAAGCGCTGGATATCTGTTCAAAAGCTTGTTTTTTTTAGAAAATCTATTTTTTTGCAGCTTCAAAACTAATTTTTATACAGCAAACGATAATTTGTAATGCCATTTGAATCGCGACTGAATTGTCTGTAAAATTTTAAGTTTTTTCTGCGTGGTGTGATGAAAGGATCTGATCAAAAACTTATAATTCACGCATATTCGATAGTTGTAGTAAACAGGCAAGTGGACAACAGTTTTTCAAGAAAATTGACTAGAAAAACAGAAAACAAATCTTTTAAATTTTTTTGTAGTTTTTCGAATTCTTTAAGTTTTTGATTCCAGAAAGACGCTAGAAGACTCAAAAAACTACCTATAGCCGAGTTTAATTATATTTTCACGCGGCTGACATTGAATACGTAAGACTTAAATAAGCCATTGTAATCTGCTCGTTTTCTTTAATTACTCGAACTTGGACTAAAATTGATATAAAAAATTGAACTATGTGTTTCTCCATTATGGGAAAACTTTTTGAAAATATGCTTCAAATCACGACTGAAAGTTTTCTAAAATCACTCGAACCACTCCGATGATTTTTTGTGGTACCTGTTTTTACTTGGAAAACAAAAAATGAAAACAATCTAACACAAAATCAATTGTTATTCATTATGAAGTGACAATAAATTATGAAAAAGAACGACTCACAACAAAAAAAAACAACTGCAAAAATGGTAGCCCTAAATTTTTATTTTTTAATGCTCTGTGTATATTTAAATATATATTTTATCGTTTTATAAAAAAAATTTATAAATAACTGGTATAAAAAAATTTTAACTTGTGTTTAAACAGAGGGTAAAACGATGATTTGCTTCTCGATTGGAGCCCAGTTTGGCATATATGATGCCATCAAAGATAGCGAAATTATCAATCATTCCCATTTCAATCAAACATTAATCCAAAACTGTAAATCTCAACAGCTGAAAATATGAAAAAAATTCACATAATACACATTTTCTTAAATCTAGCCTTGCATGATTTTAACTCACCCGTGTGCCTGTTGGCTGCTGGCCATAGTTCGCTGTTATAAAAAGTTTATTTTTGTCGCTATAGGGCAAATAAATTATCGTGCGATTATGTGTCTTCAAAATTTTGTCTTTTTCAAAGCATTCAGAAACCCTAAAAATTTGACTGATTCAAAATTCTTCATGAAAAAGAATGAGTGTTTTTTTTTTCAAAATTTTGTACTTATAACTTCGTTGTTGAAACTTCAAAAAAAATCAAATGACTTTTTCCAGAAGTGTACCATCTGTCTGATTTAAATTCAATTTTTACTCTTTTATTTTAGCAACTTTGGAACGTTGCTATTAGAATTTAGTTGTTCTGGCATAGTTTTTTCTGTTGAAATTAGCTGAATATGTCATCTTGAAACCCATTTCCTGCAATTTTTTAATACTTTTTTGCCAAAAAAATGGTTACAATTATTGTTTAAATTTTTTTTGCATGTGTCATTTTTAGCTAATATTTTTTCGACTAAAAACTTTTCCTCAAATGGCACAAAAATTAGCAAATTTCAATGAATTTTGTAAAATAGAAGCTTTGATGGATTTTGGGTTTCTAAAACCAAGATTTTTAAAGCTACCATCTAAGGCTCACGCTCGATCAGATTATTCATAGTCAAAACTCTTGGCGTTTTTACAGCATCAGAAAACCCCTTTTTACAGTTTTTCCATTGAATGATTTTAATTTTGAGGAAGCAGGTAGTTTTTTGATATCTGACCATTTGAAAAGTGGGGAGGAACTTTGTATTCGGGTGTGGTTTCAGTTTTTTGGTTTTCCACACAAAAAACAGGTATCACAAATAACTATTGGAACGCGTCGAAAGATAATCATATTCCAGACCTTTCCGTCGTGATTCTAAAATTCTTAAAATTTGTTAAATTTGTCCCAGTATCGAGAAAAAAAACAAGTCTAAAAATTTTTGTCGTAATTGAGCAAAAAAGCGAGCGAGCTGAAAACAATAACTTATTTTAATAGCTGAATAGATAACATTAACTCAATTTAAGCCATGAAAACTTACTTTCCCTCGAGGAAGGTTCGTTATTGATCTGTTTAACGCTCTGGAATAAAAAAAATCCGAAAATTTAAAAAACTTGAATTTTTGAATTTGCTTACTTTTTTTTTGTTTTTGTTGCCCAATTTGCTTACTTTTTGTGACTAACGAATATGCCTAAGTCCTTGTTTTAAGTTCAGATCCATTTATCACACCACGCAGAAAAACAACACTAATTTGAAAAAAATTTATTGTATTTTTCTAGGACTAGGGTCGGAACTTTCTGTGCTACTTGCACAGTAAACGGCTATCATTGTTGCTATTTTTGAATGCTTAACCATATCCTCCCTATTTTAAATTTTTCAGAACATTAAAATGACCACTACCAGTTTTGGTATAGTTTTAGAAAACTGTTTCATGATACGAAATCATCTTAAGCTTACATTTTCTCATCAGGGCAGCAACGAAAATCATTGCAGCAAGATCGAAAAGGGAAAATTAAAGAAATTATTATATTTTGAGCAGGACTGCCTGGATGAAATAAAGACGCGGAAAGATCGGTACAAACTTCTGGACATGCACAACAATTTATTTCTCACACCACTCTACAAATTAACTCAACAAGCGGAGCAAAACAAAATCGCAGAAAAAATAAGCCAATCAGAATCAATCGACCAAAAAAGCAAAAGAGCATCTGATTCGGAAATATCCAAAGTTGCGAGACAAAAAAATACTCAAAATAGTTGGCGCCAACAAAGATTTGAAGACAGTAGTGGACCAAGATTAGCTCAGAGTAAAAGTATTTCAAGCTCAGCTTTGATGCAATCTTTAACTTATGACTCAGAAAACAACGAAACAAACTTGGCAAATGAAGAATATTTTAACGAGTTGTATGATGAAGATTACAATAAAGACCAGTTTGACCCAAATGAAATGTCGGCATTGGCATCATTGGCATCCAGACGTCTGCAGAACTCTTTGTTTATTCCCATTTCAAACCATCGAAGTCGGAATTCAACTCATAGTTTAGCCCCGAATAGACCCTATAATAGTTTAGTACCCCGCGAAAGCCTTTCACGCTTCAAAAAACGACAGCGAGAACACGAGTTTCAAAAATCGGTTCCGAACTTGAACGAAATTGGATACGAGTTGCAGCCAGTAGAAAACGGAATGAGATTTCAACATGCTGGTGACGCCCGTAGCACCGGAACCCTCGACGATGTAATGTCGCCGCCTCTTTCGGGAGTTTCCTATTCGTCGGGTGAGGTGGGCTACGAAGACGAGGAGCCGAACTATAACGACTCGTTTTCGTCACCCGGATCGAAGAATTTTTCACCCAGGCGGCGGCAATGGGAAAAACAGAACCCGGTGAACAGTGGTAATATGTTGTCTTATTACCCACGTGGGAGCAACTCGTTTACAAATGACTCATCACCCGGCGGCGTTAACTCGGATTCATACGATGCGAGTCCACTTGAGTTGCAGGATGCCAGCCGAGAAGGTTACGAGGTGAGTGATGCTTTCGCGCCTTAAATTATATTAAAAGTAATTTTGATAACAATTAACATTAGAAGCAAGTTGCTGTGCAAGTAGCTCAGAATGTTCCAACGATAATGATTCACGTATAGAAATATGAAAAAAATTTAAAATTTTTAGAAAATATGAAATTTTTCCTTATATATTGTTGTTTTTTGTTGTTGAAGGGCGATTGAATTATCCAAAAAAACACAAAAATGCAAAAATGGGAAATTATAACAACCAAAAAACCGTTCAAAAAAATTTTTTTTTTCTGGACGCTGAGACAATTTTTAAAAATAACTTACGCCCGGCCTGTTACGCCCGGCCCCTTAAGTGGCGGGTAGTCGGAACAATTATTTTAGCCGGTCGCTGTTCAAGAAACCAAGAACAAAGAAGTTCAATTGAATTTGATTTTTCAGAAACGAGATGACATTATGTTAAATCTTGGATGTTAAATTGTTCTCTCCCATTCTATCCCCGGGTTGACCAAAATGTGCAACCATACGTCGCACCATGCATTGTTCCATGCAAGCCATGGAAAATTGCCGAGGTATTTTATGTTAAAATAACATATTTTCCATTCATGACGCGACGTATGGTTGCACATTTTTATTATCATGGGGGACTTCAAATTAGACAATAGTGATACTTTTACCAGGGCTGTTGAGAATTGATATGTCACCATGGATGCTTGCAATGTTTGGTTACTATGGTATCATGCATGCCACCCCCCCCCCCCCCCCCCCCGCCAGTAGTTTTTAGCCCCCCCCCCCCCCTCCCAATACAAAACATCCGGCTGTGATAGAACTAAACTTTTTTTGTAACAAGGCTGGGTGAAGAGCTTTACTAAACTAAAATATTTCACTTATAAACAGTGATTCATATCTCGTTCATAGTCAAATTATTAGATTATTCATAGTCAAAAACTCCGAAGTTTTTTATGAGAAATCTTTTTAGAAGTAGTTACTTTTATTTGAAAGCTTAGAGTAAGAATTGAATTTTTATTTAAAACCACCGGCTAAGAAACTAGTCTATTTTTAATTTAACAAGTTGGTTTTTTTCCTTTTATATTTGTTGGATGTTCACTCTTTTTATTATATGAATTTGGTCAAATAATTTAGTTTTACTTCTGATTTTAATAAAAAGCAAGCCATTTTGCTTTATCGCTGAGAGACTCGTATCAATTTTTTTAATGCAACAAGATTGGCAAATTATACATTAAATAAAATTTCAGTACACACCAGTTTTTGAATAAGACTGTGTATAGTACCGCTTTCAGAGATAAAATCAGATATAAAACTTCGCAGTGCTCTAACGGCGCATTGAATCAATCAATGACCGAGCAGTGCTCCTTGTCTTCAAAAAGCAGTTTCCTGAAAAACTTTCTTTTCCCATCTTAGACTTAACTTTTATGAGGTACTGACTTTAAATGTACAAATTGTTCAATGTTTAAAAGTATTGAATGGAAGTAATCAATTATCCTGTGTTGATACAAAAATTTCAAGTTATTTTGCTTATGTCCGGATAAACCAGTGATGAGAATAAACCAATGATTCGGCGATGATTCAGTAATGCATCCCTTGTCAATCAAGGATAAGGAAAGAGGCTTGCAAGATTCCTCCGACGACGATGCAATTCTTTTGAAGATTTTGCATGGATCTTGTTTGAAGATCTTGCATGCATTTCTTTTCAGCAAGATCTTTAAACAGATGATTCTTTGTGGAAAAAAACTGCTTCACTTGCAAAGACAGTATCTTGCATGAGGAAGCAATCTTACAGAGACGCAAATTGATCAAAATTATGACATAAATGACCAAAATTAAATTTCTACCCAACAGATATCTAAAACTGAAGTTTTTGGAGAAATAATCGTCTAGAAAAGTTTCGTCTTTGAAACTTCATTCGAATTTCACAAATTATAAAAAGGATATGAAAGTTTCTGCATAGCAAAAGCTAAACGTTTCGCAAAGATAAAAAGCATTTGAAATTTTGTCCTTCCGAGCATTTTTCCGATCCAAGATACTTCGCGTATGCTTTTGTGACGTTAATCAAACTGAATTTTTAAGTGTTTGTAAGAGTAATGAACGCAGTGAAGACTCTTGCATAGGTTTTAGCACTCATATAGGTTCACGTTCAATTTTGATTTTCCGCGGTTTGACTTCTTAATTTTGTAAGTTTGCTTCATTTATTGAAAGGAGGGCAAACTCCGCTATGGAACAGAAAAAATGTAAAAGTGACGGAAAACATTTGAAATTTTTAGTTTCGAAACTGAATTTCAAATTTCCGATTTTCTAGCAGAAAAATTTTTTTTTAGTTCTGAATCAGTTTTCTCAAATTATACTGATTTCAATAAAAAGCACCAATCAAAAATTGTTCTTGAAGTTGAAAGAGTTGTAAGAGGGAAGCGGGGAGAACGAATCCATGACGTCAGGAATCTGATGACTACATGGTGATATCAATCAAGAGGAAGAAGAACGTGACAGAACTGAAAATTCCTGGGCCCGAGTACAGGTTGAGGTGTCAGGAAGGAAGATGTGGTTGTGGATAAATAGCGGATCTCCAGTGACGATCTTCAGCATGACGGACCTGAAAACAACGTAAGGTAAAACGAATATTCAGTTACAACCCTCGCAAGACGAATTTTTGGACTACAACAACAACCGAATACACATACTGGGGAAGGTAGCGGTGACGATGGCGTTTAATGGCTGGGCAGCTCCAGCACAAGTGTCAGTAATATCAGGAAATCATCAGTCAATCCTTGGGCGCGATCTGATGGGCACCCTAGGCCTGGAGTTGGTGCAAAGAAGGAAAGTGATGGGAACCATGGGGGAAGGGAGCAGTCAAGAAGAGGAGGAATATGATGACTTACAATTATATTTCTGTAAGTTGTACCCAAATTTATTTACCAGGATAGGAAAAATCCGGAACGCTAAAGTAAGAGCCGAATTTTTCGAAAATTTAAAGCCGATACAACAAAAGGGGTGTCGGGTGCCTATCAGTCTACAAGATAAGGTAGACAAGGAAATTGATCGCTTGATAAATGAAGGTCATATCATCAAACTACAAGAATGTTCGGATAAGTATTTTGTCTCTCCTATAGTAATCACAGTAAAAAAAAGATGGAAGTATAAAAATGGCATTAGAATCAAGAGAACTGAACAAACAGGTACACAAGAATAAGTACCAAATGCCAAATATTGACGAACTAGTAGACGAGATATGCCAAATAATTGCAGAGAGAAAAGCGGAGAATGTATAATTTACAACTTTGGATTTCACATATGCGTACGGACAAGTTTCCTTAGAACAAAAAACGAGCGAACAATGCAATTTTTCACCAGTCGGCGGGAAGTCAACGGGATTTTATCGCTTTAAAAACGGGTTTTACGGGCTCACATCGATGCCAGCGGAGTTTCAAAAAGTCATTGATAATTTACTTAAGAAATTCCCTCAGGCAAATGCTTTCATCGATGACATTCTAATTGCATCCAGGGGAACCAAAGTAGAGCACATTGCACTAGTGGAAAGAATTTTAAAGAAGTTGGACGTTTCAAATGTTTCGTTGAAATTACGAAATTGCGAATTTGCAAAAACAGAGTGTGAATGGCTAGGATTTTGAATTGGGCAAAGTGGCATCGCGCCGTTAGTTCGGAAAACACAAGCGGTAGAAGATCTGAAAACCCCAAAATCTAGAAAGCAATTGAAATCACTAATGGATTCGATGCACAGTTTGCATAAATTTTTGCCAAAACTTGCGGAAGTGAGCGCACCATTAAGACAATTACTAAGTCAGAATAACGGTTTTGTCTGGACGCCTAATTGCAAAAATGCGTTCCAACAATTAAAAGCGCTAGTGAAAAACATTGTGGAACTAAGACATTTCGACATTCACCGTGAGACGAGGATCATTTGTGATCCTATTTACGATGGCCTACGGGGCCGTGTTAGAACAGTACAGCGCCTCCGGTTGGCACCCAATTTCGTTTGCATCACGGTACCTTAATCCGGCCGAGAAAATGTATTTTACAAATGATTTAGAATTACTCGCGGTAGTGTGGGCTACGGAACATTTTCGAAACTATATTTATGGCCGTTATTTTACAGTTATATCGGATCATAAGGCGTTGCTTACATTGTTAAATTCTTCCCCAAAAGGAAATAAAACAGTTTTTAGCCGGTTATCTCGATGGTACGACCGCTTAGTACCTTATAATTTCAAAGTTGAACATAAAGAGGGTCAAAAATGGGAATGCCGGACTATTTGTCTCGGTTTCCATCCGCAGCGGCACCCGAGACAAGTCAATATGATAAAAGTTTTACAGTAGCGAAAATAAAATGATCAACGAAGCATTGAAACCTAAGGATCAAATAAAACCTAGGGGTCAGAAAACGAATCAAATTAAGATAAAACCGACAGTAGAGGGCGAACGGTCATGTTCTGAGTTAACGAAAAGAGTTGTATCCAATGAAAATAAAAGAAAAGCAAAATATGCAAATATTCACCGTGAGCACACGCGCTCACTAGAGGGCGTGGTTACATGCAACCGACCGTTAGCCAATCAGAATCGAGATATTTGCATACCGGCGGAAATATGCAAATGCCGAATCGAGAAAATCAGACGTTGTTCTCAGTACGTAAATTCAAGTTGCGAAATTCAAGATAAAAGTACAAATAATATGTCACTCAACTCACCGAGAAAAGCGATCCACGAACTGCCGCTATTGTTATTACCTCAACCCATTCCGGAGATGTAAACCCTTATGTAGTCCTAAATCTATTAAACCAACCGCCTAGTGTAAGTTCTGATTCAGATATAGAATTAATACCGCCAGAAAAAGTTGTTCCAAAACCAACAAATTTGAAGAAGTTAAATACTATTATTTTATTTCCCCATCAGTTTCCCGGATTATCTTACCCACTCGTAAAGAATGATAAATGGATTTACTCAATAGTGGCGACGGACAGTAAAGTAGTTTAAAAAATCGATTATCCTGAGATGCTAAGTTTGAAG